GTACAAACTTTTCTACTCTCTTGGCTGCCCTGCGATGAAAGACGTCCTCAGAGGATTTCTTGTCTGGGTTTCAGTTTTCCAATTGGGAGCTAGTCCTCCCCACTCTGAGATGTCTGTCTTTTCCAGGGGGATGGTCTCTCCCAACTCCCCAAGGGTTTTGATCCTTGGAGGGGTAACTGTGAGAATCCTTTTCTCAAGAGGTACTGCACCAGCTTTACACTCTCTAAATGTCCCCCAAGATCCTTAAGCCCAGCTCAGAAAAGGCTCTCACTGCCTCTTTGTGTGGTGGAGATATGCTTTATACATCATCACATGTTTTTCCTCCTTACGTTTTATGTTATAAACTCTATGCACTTAGTGCTCCAGGATTTGCTCTCGAAGTGCCAAAATTCTTTTTTTCTTTTTCAATACCATTGTATCTTCCCCTCTCAAAAGCCTATTTTGAAATTCAAAGTGAAGAATTTGACTTGCTGAATTCAGCTTTTGCTAGGTTCTTCAGTACCTTTCCCTCTCTGGGATAAAAGCCGCTATTAGCTTAAAGATCTAATTTTAATGGTGAAAATGTTGTAGGGTAAAAAGGAAATGCCAAGAAGTAAGAATACATCTGTCAATATTTTAAAATATTTTACAGCTACTTATATGATATGAACTGAATGACTTAGGTGGGTCTAGTATAAAATTTTGCTCTTTGGGGAGGAATTGGAAAGAATCTAGGCACATGTCTAACGATATTAACTTTAAATAGTTTTTGAAATTTACCATAAGAGGCAGATTTTTCTCTCCCTCTTGGCTTTGATAATATTCCCTATGTCACTCCCTTCTCTTCCATGATCCTCCATAACCTGGGAGGGTTAGTTGGCAAAATTCCATACAGTAAGCAAGATTTACTGCCATTTAAGAGCCTCATACTATCTCCTTGGGGAAAGACAAAACCCTGTGGCTAAAAATGTCAAGTCTGGGATCTTAAAGTTCTACCAGAGAAACTGTGGGGAATGTTAGTCTCTTGGTGGGGGAATAGGTTGGATCGCTGGAATGTCTTTTTCCCAGCTAGTTAATTTCTATGATTCAAGGAAAACAGACCTTAAAAGGAATGGAGAAAGTACAATTTTTATGGAACAAAAGGAACATTAGTTACTTTAACATTCTGAAAAGCATTTTTATGAATTTTTAATAAAATTTGCAAATGATGAAATATCATCACATTCAAAAGAATCAATTAAATGCTTATATTATCATGGATTTAAGCCCCTAATTATTGGGAAAAGGTAAAAATTCCCAGATTTCTGAGTTCACGATAGTAAACTTATATTTCTTTCATAATATTCACAGAATGCTCATGACAAATGCTGTGCAAATGGAGATGTTTTATTCCCAACATGGACTGTTGAAATGAAACTCACTTATGTTGAGTATCGCCACACCAGGTATATACCTCATTGAAAAACGATTCCTGACTGATATATATATTATGTTTGCATGTGTAAGAATGTGTATGTATATGCATGCATATGTATAATTTTATATATACATATAATTTTTGAACATTGAAAGGTATTTTACCCACTAGAAAGAGTTTGATATTTCAATCTCTCAAATGATAATTTTATATCATGGAATAGTGGTTAAGAGGATGGGTGCTTGACTCTGATTGCCTGGGCTAAAATAAAACCATTAATTAGCTGTGTGACCTTGGGCATGGTACTGAAATTTTCTGTATAGCAATAACCTCATCTCTAAGATGGGAGCAATAACTGCATCTGCCCCATGAGGTGGTTGTGGGTATTAAGTAAATTAGAACATGGCATTGTATAAAATACAAAATAAATGTGAACTTTCAGTAACATTATTAGTATATGCAAGGCCCATACTAGCTGCTTTGGGGGAGAAAAGAGACACAGTGTTTACCCTTATATGGTTTACTATCTAGTTGGGAACTCAAGCTATAGTCTTATATAAAGTGAAATACTGATATCTGAGAAGAAAATCAACAGTTCAGTTCAGCTGCACAGACCAGCCTCTTAAATATAGAAGCCATATGGGCTGGGTGACCTGGCTCAGGTCACCCTTTTATATCTTTATATAAAATGTTAGTCTCACATTTATTTCCCTTCACCTGATGCTTATCTCTCTGACATGATGAAAACAGGCTCAAGGCACATTGTATAATAAACAACGTTTGCAGTGGCCCAGCCTATATTAATCTTGCAGTGGTTTAACCATGGGTGAGCAGTAAAGGACACGGCTACTGATGCTGGATTAAGGCTCTTGACAACAGAAGTTGGTTGAGCTGTGAGTGCTCTGAAAAGCAGGCCAGCCCACCAATTTCTGCAGTTTGCAGAGGGACAGTGACTGCTTCAGCTGATTTTTAAGTTTTTTCTGATATTTGCAGACAATTCCAGACTGTAATTATCCAGTTTAAGAGGTAATTCTGTACAAGGACTGGCACAAAACTGCCTATCTAATTGCCAGATAAATATTACAGTTAACAACTTCTCTGTGAGATCAAGGACAGGACTACTTCCCATGGTCTGGGATGTTCATGGAAGGCCTTGGGAAGAAGTGGTTATGAAAGGGCCTTCAAAAAGAATTTAAGGTAATCTTTGGATTAATCCCTTTTAAATAAAATATTAATTCCCCTAATTTAATTTTTTATAAAGAGGAATGCCTTTATTTATTAATTAATTTTTAATTTTAAGTAGGTCCCAAGTCCAATGTGGGGCCTGAACTCACGACCCTAAGATCAAGAGTCATATGCTCTACCAGCAAGGCGCACCATCCCCTAACTTAATTTTTAAATTTATCACTCTAGATTTTCCCCTACTTTCTGTCCCTGACTGGTGCTCATATCAAAAGATAATTCTGTGTCTAAGTTACGAGTTTATTAAGTTTTCATATGTTGATCTGAGTATATAACCTTCACCTATAAAACTGCTTCTGAGGGGAAAACAGGGGTATTCTGAATTCCAGACAATCAATTTATAAACCCATTTTTTAAAACTCTACTTGGGTTGGTTCTTTCACTCAACAATTAATGAGTGCTTTTCGTTAGGATAAGACACTGTTGTAGGCCCATATGAACAAAAGAAAGATACCTGCCCTCATGGAGTTGACATTCTGGAGAGGACAGACCGTTAAAAAATATACAGAATCAATAATTGGTAGTGTGTTGGAAGGCAATAAGTGCTAAGGGATAAAGGAGTAGTGCAGGGTAAGAGGGAATGGGATGGGGTGGCAATTTTAAATAGGATGGTCACTGTGAAGGTTACACTTAAGCAAAGTGTGAAGGGAGCCAGCCAAGATGACCAACCCCAAGTAGGGGAAGAGTATTTAAGGCAGAAGGAAGAGCCAGTGCAAAGGCCCTGAAGCAAGAGCTTACCTAATGAGTTTGAAGAATAGCAAAGAGACCAGTATAGTAGGAAGGGGGTGGGAGAGACAAGAGGATGAGGTCAGAGAGGTAAGCTGGGTAGTGGCAAGAGGGAACTTGCTAGATCATATAGAGCCTTGCAGGACTGTAGAGGCTTCGAGAAAGTCAGCAGTCACTTGCACTGGGCTGGCTTAAAGCAAAGCCTGCTTGTATCAAAATAATTTCTCTTTTCCCCAGTGTCCTATACTGCAACTTTAATGTGGATACAAATAAACTGAGATCTTCCTAAAATTCAAATTCTGATTTAGTAGGTCTGGGGCAGGGCCTGAAATTCTCCATTTTTAGCAAGCTTCCAGGTGATGCCAGGCTGCCAGTCTACAGTTACACATTGACAAGTAAGAATAAAGACGTGTTGAGTTCCCAGGGGCTCTGGAACTTACCTCTCCATTAGCTGGGTGCAAGGGCCTTCTTGTTCCTTGTGAGCCTGAAAGGACAACCTCAAAAGGTTTTTGTTCACTTTCCTATTGGTCATGGTCTCACCACTAGACTCACTATTTCAAGGTCCTATCACTTGGCTAGTAAGAGCATGGTCTAGAACACCCTCCGAGAACAAGAGATAGGTTGGCTGGCTGTTGCCATGCAGAGTCTAAGAAGTTTCTAAGGCCTCCTCACTGCCTATGGAGGCTCTGACCACATTCCTATCTTACTCCAGTTACAGAAGTTCTGACTTGTGGCCTTCACTCCTGGTCCTATGCCTTGAGTGAAAGCCCAGCCCTGTAAACTAGGCCTGAGGCAGCCAGAGGATCTGGGTTATGCTCCCAGGTAGCAGAGAGAATGCCCTGCTAATGACTGTTTTACAGGGAAGGCTGGCCTTCTTAAGAGCTAGTGCAGTAATCTGCAGCGGTGCAGGCCTGGGAGGACTAGCCACTTATGAATATAAAGCACGGGTTATGAGTCAAGATAATTGAATTGTGCTTCTAGCCCTTACTGTGTCATCTCAGGAATATTCCTTGGGGTCCTGGAGTCACAGTTTTCTCATCTGGAAAGTGGGAATGACAACAACACTTCCCTCATTTATTGAGAGGATGCATGTAAAGCATGTAGTCAGGCACCTGGTTCATAATGATGCTCACAAAGTACTGGTTATTATTTTTATAATCACTAGTAACATCCCACCACCTATCAGATCGCGTTGTGGCCTGACCCCATGGTACCCACCTTTACATTCTCTGGAGTTCGGGCACCATGGCAAATCCCTCAGCAAAGGCTTTCAAAGAGAAAACAGAGGGGTCAATGGCAGTTTCATCGTGGTAAATGTCACTAGAAGTAATTAAGGAACTGAAGAGGTTTCGTTTATAAAGGAGATGATGAGGGGACGGACGTGATGGCTATCGTCATGTTTTCTCGTGTGAGAGAAACGAGAGAGTTCCACGAGACCCAGCGGGCACGCTGAGACCAACCGGAAGCAACGAAAGGAAAGCACCCCCGCCTCCAACAGACAAAGCGAGGCAGGAGGCGATGGAGGAGGCGGGGTGGTCTGTGAGGGTCCGCTCCTGCGCAGCTGCGGCGGCGGAGCCAATCGCCGCGCGCAGCCCGTCCTCGCGCGACGGTACAGTCGTACAGTCGTGACGTCGGCGGTTGCCATGGAGAGGCCCGCTAGCTGGGGACCGCGAGCTGGCGCTAGGGTTGGCGGGGTCAGAGCGTGGCTTTGAAGCCGCTTCCGCTACCACCATGAGCGGCCGAAGTAGGGGTAGAAAGTCCTCCCGCGCCAAAAGCCGGGGCAAAGGCCGCGGCAAAGCCCGAGTCCGCGCTGCTCCTGACGACGCCCCCCACGACCCGGACCCGCCACAGTGCCAGAGGCTCGGGGAGGAAACCCAGGCGGCACAGGTGCAGGCTGGCGCGGGTTGGGGTGGCCTGGAAACCGCTGCGCCCGCGCCGTCCCGTCGGCCCGGGGAGGACGCTGCCTGCCGGCTCCCCCTGGACTGTGGCCTCGCGCTCCGGGCCCGAGCTGTGGGGGATCGCGGGCAGGCCGCGACCAGGCCCAGCCCGGGGAAGGCCACATCCCTCTCGGAGCGTCTAGCAACAGACACTGTCTTCGTGGGGACTGTGGGAACCGTGGGAAGGCCGAAAAATGGCCCCCGCGTTGGAAATCGGCGTGGCCCCGCCGGGAAGAAGGCCCCAGAGATCTGTAGCACAGCGGGGAGGGGGCCTCAGGCCATAGCTGGCGGGAAGCCGAAGAAAGGGGCCACAGGGGAGAGTGTCTCCGTCCCTGTGGTAGAGGAAAAGGTGGAGAAGGATGCAGGGTCAGGGCCCCTGGCGACAGATGGCAGCATGGATACGCTGGAGACGGTCCAGCTGAAGCTGGAGACCATGAACGCCCAGGCAGACAGGGCCTACCTTCGGCTCTCGCGGAAGTTTGGGCAGTTGCGACTGCATCACTTAGAGCGCAGGAACCTCCTCATCCAGAATATCCCGGGTTTCTGGGGGCAAGCTTTTCAGAACCACCCCCAGCTATCATCCTTTCTGAACAACCAAGATAAAGAGGTTCTCAGCTACTTGAACAGCTTGGAGGTGGAAGAGCTTGGCCTCGCCAGATTGGGCTACAAAATCAAGTTCTACTTTGGGCGCAACCCCTATTTCCAAAATAAGGTGCTCATCAAGGAATATGGGTGTGGTCCTTCGGGTCAGGTGGTGTCTCGTTCTACTCCAATCCAGTGGCTCCCAGGGCATGATCTTCAGTCGTTAAGCCAGGGGAACCCCGACAACAGCCGTAGCTTCTTTGGGTGGTTTTCAAACCACAGCTCCATTGAGTCTGACAAGATTGTGGAGATAATCAACGAAGAACTGTGGCCCAATCCCCTGCAGTACTACCTTATGAGTGAAGGGGCCCGTGCAGAGAAAGGAAAGGAGGGCAGGCAAGGTCCAGCAAGGCAGCCAGTGGAGACCCCTGAGCCTGGGGCAAACAAGTCCAACTGATCCTGCACTAGTCTCCCTACTACCTCCTGTTGGACCTGTGCCCAGCTAACCACACGTGTTTGGTTATCTGCCTTCTCTTCATGTTGGCCTCTGTGCACTGTATTCCCTTTGGACTTCAGTTACAAGAATATGGTATTTATGATCATGTTCTTTTGCCTCCTCGTGGCCTTCTTGCTTTTTCACATTAGTGTTACATGTTAAATGATCTCACCCCTACTGTTTATGTTAAGCACACATGCTTCAAGTGTGTGCTGCCTTTGTCTACATTGCCTGGACCGTGTTTTTGGCTCTGGCCTTTCCCAGCTGTCTTTAACATGGACACTCATGAGTCATCCTCCAAGAGGACCAGTGCATCCTCAAGCTCTGCTACTTCAGGGCCAGTGACTTGCTGAGCTTTGTGTTCATGCTGGCCATGCATGCCATCTATGGCCAGTTTTTCTGTTGCCACTGCAGAATGGAGCTAGCGCACATGGTATTGGCCATCAGCCAAAACTAATTGTTCCAAAGCCCTGGGGTCACCGGCCTAGTTGCCACCACCTACTGGATCTCTGACTTTGGCTAGGGGCCTCAGCTGCCCTGCTGGATGTGCAGAATAGCACTTGACTGCTGGGCATGGATGAGGTTGAGAGTGAGAAGCAGTATGCCATGTGTTCTGTACCATCCTGTGTCTCTTCCTGCCTCTGGGCCCTTCTACTATTGAACATTCGTCAAGGTCTATACCATGCTCCGTCACTATCAGGCCACTGAGACTTGTCTAGGTTGCTATTGGCCCTAGTTGGCTTCCTGGTCAACGAGGACCTCAAGAACTGCCTGTGGACCCAGGCCCCCTGCCAGTGCATGAGACACACACCTACCCTCCCCAGCCTTCCAGGAACCCTGCCACCTGCCAGACTGATGGGCGGGTGTGTGAACGTGTGCTCACTGTCATCGTGCTGTGGCTGCAGGTGAGGGTGGGGACTGGACCCACATACAACCTAGGTACCTTTGTCAACTCCACTTATCCCTTCTTAGCACAGGACCAGAGTGCTATAGTGGGGTTGCTGGGGAAGAGGTATTTCTGACCTGTGGGCCTGTGTCTACTTCCTCTCACACCTCTGTACCTTACTTGCCCTTCCTTCACTCCCTCTCTTCCTTCTTTCCTCTCTTCCTTTCCTGTCCTTTCTTCTTCCTCCACTTCTCCCTTCCTTTTTTGTTTCAGTACTACCACAGCTCAGAAAGAGAAAGCAACTGAGAAACCAGGGTTTTCTGCATACAGCTAGTGAGACAGCTGGGACTTGTGCACACTCACACACCATGCTGACAGCGGGTAGAGGAGGCCAGAAGGCTAAGTGGGTCTGTGGTCAGCTGTGGTCAGACCTTGGTTCCAACTCCTGGGTTCACTCTATAATTCTCAATTGAAAATTCTTTTCATGGCTACACATGTGTTAGAATTATAAGCCCTAAGGCAGCAGTGTTGTGGACTAGTGTTTACTCCTGTTCCAACTTTCGTGTGTGTGTGTGCCCCTTAAGACCCAGTTACCTCATATTGTTTCCTCCTCTGTGGTAGCCTCTGGCCATCTGGCCCTCATTCCCCAGCTTTCTACGCTCAGCAGTCCTTTGCTCTCTTTACTTTTCTACCTTCAAATACCCTTAGGAATAGGCTTCCATCCTGGGGCATGGGGACAGGGTGGTCAGAATCTGTTCTGGATCTCCAGGGCTCATTTCCAGTGAGTATAAAAGCTGAGCCAGACCCTCTTTCTCCTTTGCATCCCTGAAGGTTGAGGGGTAGGACTGTAACACTTGCCCTCCCCCTAATCTCCCTTTCCTTATGGGAGACCTTGTTCTGAGTTCCCCAAGGGCTGGGGAGGCCTTGACTCAAATTTGTAGAGAGGGTGTGCCAGGCAGGGAACTTGGAGCAAAAACACAGAGCAGGAATGGGCCTGGTGTGGAAGGGGCCTGGAGATGCAGGTAGCAATGGTTTGAGAAGCCTCAGGGAGACTATGCCTGTCTCTCAGTGAGGGCAGGGACGGGGAGGGACCTTCCCCAGAGTGAGGAAGGGAGAATTAAAGGGGTCATGGGCCAATACAGTACCTAGGTGAGGGTTTGCCCACGGTTTTATCCAATCATTAGCTCATCATTAGTGGATTTTATAAATCAGAGAAACAAATCCAAAACAGAATAATGTTACTTTGGATGCTTTCTCTTTTGTTCTAGGTGTGGCCTTGCGTATGTGGAAGATTGATGCTGTATGCTGCTTATTTTGCCATAAGTAAAATCTTACCACTTCCCCCATTTTTGCCTAATGGGAAAATGTAGCTGCACAGGTCTGCTTTTTTCTTTTCTTTCTTTCTTTCTTTCTTCTTTTTTTTTTTTTTTAACTTTTTGCTCTTTATTATGGACATTTTCAGACAAGCACAGAAATGGAGAGGATGGTACCTGGCCCCTGTGTACCCGTCACCTAGCTACATCAATTATGATCAACCTGGTATCTTCCTGTCCCCACCTGTATTTGATGGAAAATCCGACACTGTGCCAATTCAACTTTGACTACTTTGGGAGATCAGGACTCTCTTTTGGTGGTGATAGTGGTGGGGGGCACTATCATGATCCCATCAGGTCTGCTTTTTGCTTTGAATGTTAACAAATCAAGTTCCAGAAATGGGCCTTAGAAGTGAAAGTCTTCAGGATAAACAGGGAGTCTCAAAAAGAGATGAAAAGATGCTCCCTTTCCCCTGTATCCACAAAAGGAGAGAGAGAGAGAGACTGTTCTGTTGTAAATCTTACAGACTGATACAATAAGGTGCTTACTTGGGACCCTTCACCAGAATATCAGTTTTTTTTGCTTGTGAAAGATGGAGCCTTGTGTGACTGTTAGAAATATCAGCTTGTCCTGGTCTCATAATATAACTGGTCTTGGAAGTATAATTTGGAAATTGTTTCTGTGTTCTGTGAAAATTGCTCCCCAAAGCAAAGTTGGTTGTCTTACTTGGTAATTTGACACCCTGGTAATAATGCAATTATTCCTTTGTTCCTAAACAGTATAAATAGTTGTAAGCTCACATGCATGATGGAAAAATAAAAGCCTGTATCTCTGTTATATTTTTTATTTTAACAAAAGAATTGGAAGGTGAAGGTGAGGCTAGGTAGTTGAGGGGATGTATACATTGGCCTCGAAGAGTGCTTCCTAGGTCTCAGGCCCTGGTGTGACTAGCTCCGTAACAATGATTCTCATGCCCTTAGCAGAGACTGAGATTCTGTGGTTGGTTCTGGGAGGAAGCCAGGTAGTTCTTGTTTCTAATGAGTTTTCCAGGTGATTTTAGTGGAAATCCAGTGTTTCTCAAATTTTAGAGTACATCTGAATTGTATGAGGAATCCTGTTAAAACTATGAATTCTGATTCAGTAGTCCAGGGTGGAACCTGAGATTCTGCATTTCTAACAAAATTCCAGGTGATGCCATTGCTGGTGGTTTGTGAACTGTACTTTGAGTAGCAAAGAGGAGATGTTTAAGAACCATTCAGACTAGGGGCGCCTGGGTGGCTCAGTTGGTTAAGCGACTGCCTTTGGCTCAGGTCATGATCCTGGAGTCCCGGGATCGAGTCCCGCATCGGGCTCCCTGCTCTGCAGGGAGTCTGCTTCTCCCTCTGACCCTCCTCCCTCTCATGCTCTCTGTCTCTCATTCTCTCTGTCTCAAATAAATAAATAAATAAAATCTTTAAAAAAAAAAAGAACCATTCAGACTAGAGTAACAGTGCTCAGCCTTGGTTGCACATTAGAATTACCTGGGAAACTTAAATATACTGTCGGAGCTCTGCACAATTGCCGACTAAATCAGAATGTGGGAAGGGGTTGGTCCAGGTATAGGTGTGTTAGGAACATCCCCGGTGATTCTGTTGTCTAGCCAGGGCTGAGAACTAGGGTCTCTGATGCTGTTCATTACACATCTATAAGAAGGTTAATTCTACACATCAAGAGAAGCAGCAGCAGACAACAAAAGGCCACGAAAAGCTGCCCAGCACAAAATAGTTGGAAAAAATTAGAAGTGGGTTGTTAAATGACAAAAAAATAAAATTGGTTTATATGATAAAGGGCACGAATCAATAAATGTGCAGTGTTCAGAGCATAGTAGGTGTTCAAATATTAAATGAATGAATGAGTTTAAAACACAGTTTATAGTCAAATGCCTTAGGGCTAGCCTGGTAATTAAATTTGCAAAGTAGGCCAGATTTGTTTCACAAGGATATGTGTATTCGTTTGTTAGGGCTGTTGTAATGAAGAACCCCCGACAGGGTGGCCTAAACAACAGAAATTGACTTGCTCCATTTTGGAGGCTAGATGTGTCAGATCAAGGTGTGGGCAGGGTTGGTTTCCTCTGAAGGCCTCTCTCCGGGCTTGTAGGTGGTCCTCCTTTTCTCTCTGTCTTTACACGGCCTTCCCTCTGTGCGAGCTTGGGAGCTGTGAACAGAGGTGGAGATTGTGTGTAGCTGTTCTGCAGGGCTAGATTGTTTACCTGGGGGCAGTGCAGGCCTAATGTGGCTGCATCTTCAAAGGGCAATGGGAGGAATCAGGATTTTTATGCAGAATCTCCCAATTTTGAATGCTTTCAACTAAAAAAACAAAAAAATTTAAACACTCAGAGCCTTGCTATTAATGATATGTGGAGTGCAAAAGGGTATGGAGAGCAGCCTCTATTTGATGCTCAAGCATCTGCTTGGGATTCATGCAGAGTCCTCTGGGGTTATGCATTGAGAGGGGCTCTCTGCCCAATTTAGCTCACACACTTGCTTCTTCAGAGGTACGAAGCCTTCACTCCCCAGGCCCCCCTTTCATGCCCCTCTCTTGGTTGTTTGGAGATCCTGTCTGATCTGGGATTCACTACCTCCCCATGGGCTTATTCATTCATTGCCTCCTGTATGTGCCAGTCTCAGTTGTAGACATCAGAAATATAGCTATGAACAAATAGAACTTTGAATTCTGCCCCCCCTTCTAGGTTTCAACCTCTTAGATTTTGCCTGGGATTGTCAATCTCTTTCTTTTTTCCCTTTTCCTGCATAGGGCTGCCGAGTGCTTTAGATCCATATGGGAGGTAAAGGAAGCCTCTTTTTACCCTCTGACCTCTAGGTCAGAATTCACAGGGCAATTAGGTTTTTAATAACCTGCAAAGTGAGGGCTTCTTGGAGTAATTCTTGTTAGGCTAAATCCTTTGCCCTTTTCTCAACTTTGAGCTTTATTACAAAAGGCCTTCTTTTGGCTTCTAAACTTGTTACTGGCAGGGCTTTTTTGGAGTATGAGGGGTTTGATTATGCCCTGGGTGAGGGAGGAGACAAAACTAGTCTTACTACTCATAGCTTATTGAAAATTTTTATCAACTTCGGACTGTCTCTCCTTAACACTTTGGGCTTCCTGCCTCTGGTCTACTCCACCGATTTGCGACAAGGCAGAGAGGCGCACTGCTCCGGGTTGGCCTCACCTAGGGAGGAAACTTTGCCCTCATTTGTCCCTTTGAAAATTGTGGAAACTCCTTCTGCGCTCCCACCCCTTGAGATCTGGGCCTTGGTGAGCCACTGTTACTGATGGGTGGGCCATATCCCTCAGAGTTGGGGCAGCAAAAGAAAGCCGAGAACCCAGGCTATTCAGTCTATGGTTTTTATCTCTCTTTGTCCTTAAGCATCTTCACTTCTGCTTTTGGGATCTTCTCCAGCCGTATTTCACCATTCAGGATCTCAACTCATTTCTGCTGATTCATTTTCACCTGAAACTCTGACTTGGTGCTTCTGGACCCCAGATCTGCCTTCTCTGGTCAGGTGTTCGATTTCATGCTCTCCGAGGCTCCAACCTTAAATTCCTTCCTCCTCTCCCTGCCTCCTGTCAGCCTGGTTCTCAGCTGAGGTTTGACAAATATAAGACAAAATAGCCCCCATCTGTGTGGCACTGGATGGTTCACAAAGCACAGTCATATTATATCAGTTGTAACAACTATCTGAAAAGACGGCTCAAAGAGGTTAAATGACTTGACCAAAACCACAGAGGTAGTAGTAAGCAGTAGAGCCAGAACTCAAACTCAGGTCTGCCAATTACAAACTCCATCCATACTCGTGATGGTAAACATGAGGCCCAAGCAGATAGATACCTGGTACTATGAACCTAGGCACTTCTTTCCACAGAACCTGTAATTAAGCCTTCATGTAGTGCATCAGAACCTCAGCACAGCACTCTGGTTAGTCACAGCCAGGCAGAGTTGGCATGTGAGTGTGAACCTTCCTGGCCATCCCAAACTCCAGCCTGCCAGCAGAGCTCAGTGAGGAGCAGGGCTGGCTAGGGCTGAGGATTCCTTTAACTGCTTTGTTCCAAGGTTAGGATCGGCTCAAAATTTCAGTACCTGAAGATGAATGATTTGAAAAAAGGAGGTAATCTTTCTTCTGTAACAAGAAGTCTGGTGATGGGAAGTTACAGGCTTGCTTCAATGGCTCCATGATGTTCGGGCTCTGGTTCACACCTGTGCTTCCTCTTTTGGCTTTCCCCACATCATTCCCCAGCTGCACTTAAAGGTGGGCAGGAAGGAGGGGAGAGGGAGAGCTTCTCACATGTCTCTGTCTTTATCAAGGAAGAAAATCTTTGCCAGTAGTCCCTGCTAGATCTCAGGAGACCTGAGTCAGGTTCCATGGGCCAGAAATGGGTCACACTCTCATACTCTATTTCAGGGAATCATGGCGCTGCCATCAAGGAATAAGGAGAGCTCAAGTGGTTAGGACGGATGGGAGATGTTAGTCACTTGTAGGCTCATCCTTTCTGGAGCAATGTGGCTATGCCGCTGACAAGCACATCACATAATAGTTGGAAGCACCATGCATGTGCACTGCCCCTGCCCCAGCTCCCCTGGGCACCTCTTCTGACAAGAAAGCTCTACCAGTGCTTGGCGTGCTGTGTCTCATCCTCCATTACATAAGTGCTCTTCCCGCTAGGCAATGCGTTTTTGGTTTTCCTGTTTCCCATAGCACCTCACCCAGGGTTCACTCAACATTTGATGCATGCGGTCAGTAAATGCTACTTGGACAAATGCAGTAAGTCAATAATCTTTCTAAAATGTAAATTTGATCATGTCAATCACCTGTTCAAAACCTTCAGGAGTAAGGTCCAAAATCCTAAGAAGCTCATAATAGGCCTTCCATTATCTGACCCTACATATTTTTTACTTCAAACTTTTTTATTATGAATAATTTCAACATACATAAAAGTTGACAAAGCACAATGGTTACCCGTATATCTACTATTTAAGTTCGATGATTTTTAACTTCGTGCCATATTTGTCTCTCTCTGTATATATATGTTTTGCTGAACAATTTGAAAATAAGTTGGTTGACCCTTCACCCCTAAATACTCAGCATGCATCTAATAAAAAAGGATTTTCTCCTGTGTAAACGTCAGACCATTATCACACTGCAGAACAGAATTCCTAAATACCCTCTAGTATACAGTCCATATTTAGATTTCTCCATTGTTACCAAGATTATCTTACAGTATTAGTTTTAAAATCAAGATTGAAAAATGTTCAGCCATTCATCTGGTGATCTCTTCAATTTTCTTAAAACAAAAATAATCCCCTCACTTTTGTCCCCCCCCCACCCCCCCACCATGACATTGACTTTCTGAAGGAGTTAGGCCACTTGTCTTTTAGGATGTCCCAAATTCCGGATTTGTCTGATTGCATCTTCCTGGTGTCAGTTAACTTTTTCCTCTGTCTCCTGTATGTCTTGTAAACTGAGGATGCAGATGGAATGCCTTTGGCAAGAGTACATAGACAAGGCAGATCCTTCACAGTGCGTCACTTCTGAAGGCAAAGTGACAGCTGGTCCCACTGTCGTGCTGTTCGTTTGCTCTCTTGGTTAAGATGGCGATCACCATATTTCCCTCTTCCAATTAGCAGGAAATCTCTGAAATTACTGTAAGGATACTGTTCCCTTAAACTTTCATCCCAAGGTTTTAGCAGCCATCGATGACATTTGCCCAAACCTGTTACTTCACTGTGGGTTACAAAATAGTGACCTTCTAATCTTGGCATTTCCTTTACATATGTTATCTGGTATTTTCCTGTAAGGAAG